CGCCATCTGAGCTGATTGCCTAGGCATTAGAAAATGTGGGAGCCTCGACATATCACAACCATTTGAACCTCCACGGCCTGTTACAGGGATAGATTTAGCTTGTTGTTTTCCTTTTATCGTTAAATAAGCTACTAAAAAATATGGACACTGCACAGAGCACAGAGGTTCCCAACGTCACGTCATAGACAAATCAAAACTCGGGGTACATATCAGGGCTGGAGCCGGGATGCCTCCACGTTGCGGTGTTCAAGCAAAACTCGGGGTACATATCAAGAATGGAGCTGAAATGCCTCCACATTGCGGTGTTCAAGCAAAACTTGGGGTACATATCAAGGCTGGAGCCAGGATGCCTCCACATTGCGGTGTTCAAGCAAAACTCGGGGTACATATCAAGGCTGGAGCTGAGATGCCTCCACATTGCGGTGTTCAAGCAAAACTCGGGGTACATATCAAGGCTGGAGCCGGGATGCCTCCACAGTGCGGTGTTCAAGCAAAACTCGGGGTACATATCAAGGCTGGAGCTGAGATGCCTCCACATTGCGGTGTTCAAGCAAAACTCGGGGTACATATCAAGGCTGGAGCTGAGATGCCTCCACATTGCGGTGTTCAAGCAAAACTCGGGGTACATATCAAGACTGGAGCTGAGATGCCTCCACATTGCGGTGTTCAAGCAAAACTCGGGGTACATATCAAGGCTGGAGCTGAGATGCCTCCACATTGCGGTGTTCAAGCAAAACTCGGGGTACATATCAAGGCTGGAGCTGAGATGCCTCCACATTGCGGTGTTCAAGCAAAACTCGGGGTACATATCAAGGCTGGAGCTGAGATGCCTCCACATTGCGGTGTTCAAGCAAAACTCGGGGTACATATCAAGGCTGGAGCTGAGATGCCTCCACATTGCGGTGTTCAAGCAAAACTCGGGGTACATATCAAGGCTGGAGCTGAGATGCCTCCACATTGCGGTGTTCAAGCAAAACTCGGGGTACATATCAAGGCTGGAGCTGAGATGCCTCCACATTGCGGTGTTCAAGCAAAACTCGGGGTACATATCAAGGCTGGAGCTGAGATGCCTCCACATTGCGGTGTTCAAGCAAAACTCGGGGTACATATCAAGGCTGGAGCTGAGATGCCTCCACATTGCGGTGTTCAAGCAAAACTCGGGGTACATATCAAGGCTGGAGCTGAGATGCCTCCACATTGCGGTGTTCAAGCAAAACTCGGGGTACATATCAAGGCTGGAGCTGAGATGCCTCCACATTGCGGTGTTCAAGCAAAACTCGGGGTACATATCAAGGCTGGAGCTGAGATGCCTCCACATTGCGGTGTTCAAGCAAAACTCGGGGTACATATCAAGGCTGGAGCTGAGATGCCTCCACATTGCGGTGTTCAAGCAAAACTCGGGGTACATATCAAGGCTGGAGCTGAGATGCCTCCACATTGCGGTGTTCAAGCAAAACTCGGGGTACATATCAAGGCTGGAGCTGAGATGCCTCCACATTGCGGTGTTCAAGCAAAACTCGGGGTACATATCAAGGCTGGAGCTGAGATGCCTCCACATTGCGGTGTTCAAGCAAAACTCGGGGTACATATCAAGGCTGGAGCTGAGATGCCTCCACATTGCGGTGTTCAAGCAAAACTCGGGGTACATATCAAGGCTGGAGCTGAGATGCCTCCACATTGCGGTGTTCAAGCAAAACTCGGGGTACATATCAAGGCTGGAGCTGAGATGCCTCCACATTGCGGTGTTCAAGCAAAACTCGGGGTACATATCAAGGCTGGAGCTGAGATGCCTCCACATTGCGGTGTTCAAGCAAAACTCGGGGTACATATCAAGGCTGGAGCTGAGATGCCTCCACATTGCGGTGTTCAAGCAAAACTCGGGGTACATATCAAGGCTGGAGCTGAGATGCCTCCACATTGCGGTGTTCAAGCAAAACTCGGGGTACATATCAAGGCTGGAGCTGAGATGCCTCCACATTGCGGTGTTCAAGCAAAACTCGGGGTACATATCAAGGCTGGAGCTGAGATGCCTCCACATTGCGGTGTTCAAGCAAAACTCGGGGTACATATCAAGGCTGGAGCTGAGATGCCTCCACATTGCGGTGTTCAAGCAAAACTCGGGGTACATATCAAGGCTGGAGCTGAGATGCCTCCACATTGCGGTGTTCAAGCAAAACTCGGGGTACATATCAAGGCTGGAGCTGAGATGCCTCCACATTGCGGTGTTCAAGCAAAACTCGGGGTACATATCAAGGCTGGAGCTGAGATGCCTCCACATTGCGGTGTTCAAGCAAAACTCGGGGTACATATCAAGGCTGGAGCTGAGATGCCTCCACATTGCGGTGTTCAAGCAAAACTCGGGGTACATATCAAGGCTGGAGCTGAGATGCCTCCACATTGCGGTGTTCAAGCAAAACTCGGGGTACATATCAAGGCTGGAGCTGAGATGCCTCCACATTGCGGTGTTCAAGCAAAACTCGGGGTACATATCAAGGCTGGAGCTGAGATGCCTCCACATTGCGGTGTTCAAGCAAAACTCGGGGTACATATCAAGGCTGGAGCTGAGATGCCTCCACATTGCGGTGTTCAAGCAAAACTCGGGGTACATATCAAGGCTGGAGCTGAGATGCCTCCACATTGCGGTGTTCAAGCAAAACTCGGGGTACATATCAAGGCTGGAGCTGAGATGCCTCCACATTGCGGTGTTCAAGCAAAACTCGGGGTACATATCAAGGCTGGAGCTGAGATGCCTCCACATTGCGGTGTTCAAGCAAAACTCGGGGTACATATCAAGGCTGGAGCTGAGATGCCTCCACATTGCGGTGTTCAAGCAAAACTCGGGGTACATATCAAGGCTGGAGCTGAGATGCCTCCACATTGCGGTGTTCAAGCAAAACTCGGGGTACATATCAAGGCTGGAGCTGAGATGCCTCCACATTGCGGTGTTCAAGCAAAACTCGGGGTACATATCAAGGCTGGACCTGGGATGCCTCCACATTGCGGTGTTCAAGCAAAACTCGGAGTAGATATCAAGGCTGGAGCTGAGATGCCTCCACATTGCGGTGTTCAAGCAAAACTCGGGGTACATATCAAGGCTGGAGCCCGGATGCCTCCACATTGCGGTGTTCAAGCAAAACTCGGGGTACATAGCAAGGATGGAGCTGAGATGCCTCCACATTGCGGTGTTCAAGCAAGGGGATAACTTTACCTCCTAGCCTACACCCACATTAAGCAGGCTGGTGCAGCCACAGCATTCTAGACTTGTACACAAAGGGCATCTAGTTCGACTCAGATGCGCTACTGGCTAACCTGACTGAAATTTCCCATTGTGTTGCACAGCCCCTCCAAACAAAGGCCACGATTATCCATGAGAGTCTTCCCGTTTAATTCAACGTTATATTTGGAACGGCACTGCCACACAACCGACGTCAAACTACCCTAAGTGAAGGCTGCAGCGGGTGAGGAGCGTGATTTCTGGGCACAGGTATAGTTGCTCCTGTACTCACTAAATCAGGCACCACATCATAAAGAAGTATGGAGAAGTGGAGGTATAACTGCACCATTCTTGACCTACGGACTAGATGGAGGTCAGTGGTCAGCTTCACGCCCCGCCCGCTTTACCTCCAGGGAAATCGCCCCTCGTACGCACTGAATAGGAAGCTGGGCGGACCTTAGAGCCGGTCTGGACGCTGTGAAGAAAGAAAAATCCGTTGCCCCTGCCGACAGTCCAATATCGCTGCGCGACAGGAAGACGAGAATGGGTGAAGTTGCTCTTGTGCTTCATTAAGACGTGTGGGGCAGTGCTAGATGCAAGTGAGTAATCAGCTTCACGCTCCGCTAGCTTTACTCCTAGGACAGGAGGCTGGATGGGCCCCAAGAGCTGGTGTAGACGCTGTGGAAGGGAGAATAGTCTGTCACCCGTGTCGGGAGCTGAACCCCGATTCACCGGGTATGTGTACTTCATCTACTACGGGAACGTGGGTGCGTCATCGATCATTTAATGACGTAGACCACTGCGTCATTATTAAGAAGTTACTAGATTTTATTCTCAGCACAGTTCCAATGGTTCCAATCCTTATACGCCGGTGGGAAACTCAAATATACTTACAAAAGTATTTACATTAGTAGGAGCTTAATAACTTGTGCCCTCCGCCAAGTTTAATTAGAACTAACAAGTTAAGTGGGATGAAATGGGCAGGGCATGTAGCACGGTTGGAGAAGAGAAATGCATACAGAATTTCGGTGCAAAAGCCAGATGGAAATAGCCTTCACGCCCCAGCCGCTTTACCCCGGAGAAAGAGCCCCCAGTATCCACTGGATAGGAGGCTGGGTGGGCCCCAGCGCCGGTCTGGATGACATGGAGAAAATTCTTGACTCTACCGGGACCCGAACTGCAACCGCTCCTTCGTCCAGCCAGTTACTTTATCCACTGCTTGCATATATACTAGTCACTTTTAAAACTGTAAACAGTATGCATCTACAAAGAACCGGACACTTGAATGGCTCTGCAGAGTGTCGATATGTAAAATTGTAAATATACACGTAGATGCCATGTACTGCTGCCTCTCCTCAGAGTGAGCACCCCCACATCCATAAAACCCCAACCGTCTGACACTAACAAAAAATGTGGTCTTGGGGCCCCAGCTGAAGCTTAAAAGCATAACTGACTGGCCGACTGACCGTTGGTTGTAACGTGACTTTGGCTTCATAAGTCTTAAAAGGGCTGATGTGGCTTGCGGAAGAAAATACGAGTCAATCCCCTCTTTTACAAACGAAGATACAAACAGATGAGGTGCGTGGAATGCTTGTATCTGAACCCCAAAGCCATCGAATCCATGTCTGTCTGCAGCTCTTGAGCTTCTCACATATCATTCCTCAAACACACACAATTTGGCAGAACAGTTTCACGGTGCGCCTTCTGCATACTGGAACTGTTCCATTGACAACAGCGCCACACTAAACCCACTACTCAGTTCAAAATATAACAGTTTTTAACTCACTTGCAGTAGTACAGTCTCCCGTCCTGTGCAACGTGAACCGTCCACCCAGACTTGAGATTCTGCTCGATTTCCTCCGGTTTGGTTGCGTTTGATTGAGACGCATCCTGGTCCGCTGGGAGCGCGGCGGGGATGACATCATGCCAGCTCGGCTGCAGCAACATGGGCAACCCAGCAACTCCTCATTCGGAGCCTAAACACACGTCAAAGATACCAATTTGTTTACAACTGCAACGTACTCATACGCGATGACAAACTCCTACCACCTCATTCACCTTGCTAAGAACTCCGTGGCCTGTAGCCCGCAATCGAACTATACCGACCGAGCGACCGCCGCTTACCGGCGAAGTTAGTGCGAATTTTTGCGGATAGAGGGTGTCACGTGGTCAGCGCAACGGATCCCCACAGCCGTTAATCTCGGTTTTCTAGACCGGAGCCGCTATTTCCTTGAAATAGCTCCTCAGTTATCCTCACGAGTCTGAGTGGACCCCGTTCCAGAATCACTACTTCTCAGAAAAACTGGCAGCGCCCGGGAATCGAACCCGGACCTCTGAATCTGTAGCCAGGAACTCTTACCACTAGACAACAGAGGCAGTCTGCACTTTGCTAAAACTCTGTTTAATGAACCTGAAGGTTCAACACAAGGGAGCCGTGCCATAGATGATGGGGTTGGATACCGGTGTCCTACCGCGGCGGCCCGGGTCCCATCCCAGGTCAGGTCATGTTGGATTTGTGGCAGACAAAAAGACACTGGGGCAGGTTCTCCCCGAATACTTGATCAATTCTTATTCCACCAACTGATCCATATTCATTAATCATCCTATCATCGAAGCTATGTTGTCTCGATACTGTCAGCGTCGTTAAATAGCCAACCTAAAATAAACAATATTATATTTCAGCATCCTGTTACACTCACACAATATATATGGACAAATACCGTCTTAAGTGCAACAATTTTATTGTAGTTTTTACTTCTTTTTCCTCCTCCACACTACATGTTTCGGCCCTAAATGGCCATCATCAGGTGTGTATCACTCACGTAACTGTT